AATAAGTCAGTTTGACCACAGTTTGAAAACCTTTCCAGAACAGTCTGTACTCTCCTGAACACATGGAAATGGATGAAGGAAGTGGTCTTTGCTAAAGTAACACTTGTCTCTGATTTCTTATCATGTAGGGAAAATATTCTGGAGAGTTGGCTATAAGCTGCAAAATCTGCAATAAATCCTAAATGATTTTAACAATTTGTTCTGCTGTTGATGAATTTTGGGACTCTGGCACTTTTTTCTGGGGAGGATGAAGTGCTTGTATCGCTATACACACTAAAATTATTCTTTCTTTATACAGAATCTGGTCAGGAATTCTACAATATTACACTATATCTGTTGCATGTGCACAACATGTTAAAGGAATGGGAGCTCACTGACCTAAATGTGTATGTGTGAATGAGCCATGGTGACACCAGTGTGACCAGGACAAATTTTCCTACAGTGTACAGTGAAAATTGTGGCCTTGGCAGCCAGTTAAAGACAAAAGTTTTAGATGATTTTAGAGCCCTCTCCACTCTAGCTCACAGCTGACAATTACTCCACATTTGCTCATGGTACTCTCAGAGGCACAGATTAAAAACGGTAAAAGATATGAAAAAGATGAAAACATGAGTGAATAGACAATGTAAAACCTTTGAACTAAGATAAATGTCAATTTTTTCCACATTTATCATTTGAGGAAATTCTAAAAATGTTGATCTGCTGCCTGTTTTCTGCTTTATCGTTAAAACTGATGCTGAAAATGTGGATTATCACTTCAACATTACATGAGTTGACTGAGATGTTTCTGACCTCGTACGAGCACCTCTCTCCTTCGTACTGACAGCTCTGGCTGATCTGCCACTCTTTGATCTGGTTCACCAGCTTTTCAGTGACATCTGCGCACGAGATGCCAAACAGCCTGCAGAGCAGAGCAGAGCAGAGCAGGGAGCGTTAGATTTGTTAGCCCACTGTTACCATGTAGAGTTCAAAAACAGCATAAAAATCAATAAAAGATCAATGTAAGATTCTGTTGATCATCAAAAATTTCTATTTCTCTGCACAAACATGACTAATGTGAGTCTTGTGAGTCCTGTAGTCGCCGCATATCAAAGAATCAGGCTGCACAGAACTTTGAACTCATAAGAAACCTTGACAAACATGCATTTGACTCTTTCACACTCTGGATTTCATGCAACTCAAATGCCATCAGACAGCATTATCTATGTCCAGCTGATCACATGATGCAGCAAGTAAACAGCTGCAGCATGGATCATTAATAATCAAACACAATTCATAAAAAAACATTAAATCTACTAAAAGAATCCCAGAAGACGTCAACAATACACTCATATATGGTTTGACTCAACACAAGTTAATAAAATCTATAAATACCAACAAATAAAATCTATGTTACCACTTGACTTTGCATGTGGAGACGCGGTCTGCCAGTGAGATGGTGAGCGCGGCCCCCAGGAGGAAAGCTGAAGCTACAAACAGGAATCTCAGGTCCATACTGAGGGCAGGTAGATCAGACAGGTCTGTGTCCAGTGTGCGGTCAAGTGTGTGGACGTCTTCTGAGTGTTGCCTCGATCTGCCTACAGTGCTTTAAAGAGCAGCACACGGGTCATGTGGAAAACGGGACAGCACAGCATTGATTAACACGGACCACAGCCTGTCAGAGAGAGAAACTGAAGATATCTGTACAGCAGAAGAAACAGTTATTTCTATAACATTTAGAGCAGGGATACTATTCCTCTCCAACAAATATCTGGAAACTAATATTAATGTATTCATAACTAGTCATTTAGATTATTGCAATTCCTTGTTCTCTGGTATCTCGTGTCTCCAGCTCATCCAAAACTCTACCGCCAGAATCTAGAGACTAGAAAACATGACTACATCACCGCTGGACCACTGCTCTATCGGGTGAAAGTCTATGTCTGTTTTGGAGCCAACCTCAAGTGGTCATTTGAGGAACTGCAGTTTTTGCGTCTTCCATTGGCTTCATTTTTCAGCCTCGGAGGTTGCAGCTTGGTTAAGCACCAAAACACCAAAGGAAAGTTCCTTGTATGTGAAAACAGACTTGGCAATAAACCGGATTCAAATTCTGATTCAGTAAGTGAATGGAGTTAAGTGCTTTGAGTCAAATGTTCTTTGTTTTTGGCTGGTGCCGCCTCCCTAACAGTGACCTTCATTCATTCATTCATTCATCCTCTTGAGGGTCGCGGGGGGGGGGGCTGGAGCCTATCCCAGCTGACATCGGGCGAGAGGCAGGGTACACCCTGGACAGGTCGCCAGACTATCGCAGGAGTCTGACACATAGAGACAAACAACCACTCACGCTCACATTCACACCTACGGACAATTTAGAGTTATCAATTAACCTAGTCCCCAATCTGCATCTTCTTTGGACTGTGGGAGGAAGCTGGAGTGCCCAGAGAGAACCCACGCTGACACGGGGAAAACATGCAAACTCCGCACAGAAGGGCTCCCACGCCCGGGATCGAACCGGCAACCCTCTTGCTGTGAGGCGAGAGTGCTAACCACCACACCACCGTGCCGCCCTAACAGTGACCTAACTTAGTCAATTAAAAATCTTAATGATATATCATAAATTTTTCCGGAAATGTCCTGATGACAGGTTTAATAGGTTACGCCTTTCTAATTCAAGCCCTGGAGCCAAAGTTATGTAACCTGTGACCTGAAAAATGGAACCAGAAATAGAAACCAAAAGAGTATTCAGCAGGGACAGAGCATGGGAGCGCCCCCTCCTTTCCATCTACATGCTTTTTGCTATATGGTCACTCAACTCAATTTCCACAGTTTGCATGTGACAGTGTACAGTATCAGACTTCAGATGCCTGGAGAGGGGGATGAAAAGCTGCAGTGTTAAAAAAACACGGAGGCAGATTCCTGTGGCACTGGAAGTCTGATAAAATCATCTTTATCTGAGCTTAGAGACCGAGTTTAAGAGAAAACCTAGGATACAAACTGGTTATTCCAAACTCAGTTGCATCATGGGAATTGTAGGATCCAGTGTTCTTGTAGGACATGCTCCTGGACCCAGTGCCGTAGAATTTAACTATTCAAGGGCTCTGCCTGGACCAACATTGTAATCAACCAGTCACAGCTCTCATAAGTGTGCTGTCAACGTTAGTAACATTAAACAAAAACCTTATAAGCCACTGCGGGGTTAGTGAGTAAGCTTGCCAAAAGGCTAACGTTAGCATATCAGCGAGTTAGCTTGCTAACTATAAAGGCAATGCTAACAAGTACGCTTGCCAAATGCTTGAATATTAGCGAGCTAGCTTGCTTACTATGAAGGCGATGCTTATGGGTAAGCTTCTCAAAAAGCTTGAATATTAGGGAATTAGCTTGCTAACTATGAAGGCAATGCTATAAAGTAAGCTTGCCAAAAGGCTAGAATAGTTGCGAATTAGCTTGCTAACTATCGAGGCAATGCTAACGAGTAAGCTTGCCAAAAGGCTAGTATATTAGCGAGTTAGCTTGCTAACTAGGAAGGCTATGCTAACGAGTAAGCTTGCCAAAAGGCTAGAATATTGTCCACTAAATAAAGAGTGTGGATAATATAATTTTTCAGTTGCCAATACCTGCAATTAACACATTTCCCCACCTTTTGTATGGCCTATTAAAGACACAAAAATTGTATTTTTTTTATTTTTATTTTTTGCAAGTTGGTGGTGCTTGTGTTGATCCAGGACTACACTGTCAACTAAAAAAATTATGTAGGGAATGAAAAAGGAGGGAAAACGTGTTCAGGTCTTTACAAGTGCAAAATGACATTACCTTTACTCTTAATGTTAATGATCAATAGCCTACTGGCAAGCTGACTCATTAGCGTAGCCTACCTAGCAAGCTAACTTGCCAATATTCTAGTCAATTGGCAAGCTTACTTGTTAGCATAGTCAACCTACTTCACAAGCTAACTCACTAACCCTGCAGTGGCTTATACGGTTTTTGCTTAATGTTTCAGAGGATTTTGTTCAATTTTACTAACTTCATTTTGGAAAGTTCCAAACAATGACAATCCACAGACTTTTTGTGAACAGCCAGTTTCATAGGAACTATTTTCTTTCTACCAAGTTACACCCTGCCGCCAACCACAGCGCAGAGTGCAAGAGGATTTTTGGGGTAAACTGTCCTTTTAAGAAATTGGAAGTAAACACACGTGTTAAAAACAGCAGAAAAAATGATAGCATGCTTTCTTGTAGGTATTTGTTGGTTTAAAAAATAAAAGGTGTGACAGAAGTATGAGGATGAGTAGTGGTGACAGTGGAGCCTAGTATGAGGATGAGTAGTGGTGACAGTGGAGCCTTCATCTTCAGCCTATGTTGCTCTCTGCTGGCTGAAAGTGGAACTGCATCAAGAACCCTGACCTCTCAGTCCCTTTATATTATCTTTTTGACTGACATAATTTTTTCATCCTGAATATTTATTTTACGCAGCACACACAAACACACAATCAGTTTTCTGTTCTCATCACACAGTTAAGGTGTGCTGTTTAGGTATACAGGGCCTGATGTCGTTATGTTCTGCAAATTGCTGCCACTCCTCCCACTGAAACAGGTTCAGTTGTCACTGTAATGTAAACCTCTAGTTTGTCAGGTCTGTCACAAATGGATTTTGAATAATGACAATGTTCGTGTGAGTATTACCTCGGCACTGGACTGGCTCAAAACTTGGAAATGCAGTCTGTCACCTTTGAGTGAAGCACATCAACCTTTCAGAGCACATTTGTATGTGAACATAAATGTTGTTGTCTTCCTGCCATGAATTTAGTAGGACACTAAATGTGAGCAGAAATAGATCCGTCACCATTCAGTGAATTAAAAGAAAGAAAGGTGGCTTAATACAAAAACCCCACTATTTACTTATTAGCTAATTATTAACTTATTGATTAGCCTGTTTTAACACCTCTGAGTCACTGCCAATGCTCCAAATTGTTCGCAAATTCAAATAGCAGAAGTGAAGTGAAATAAAATGACAACTCAGTCTGATTATGAGGCAACTGATTTATTTTTTCCATGCACCTCTTTACATTTTACAGCAACTCAGTGACAACGTGTCATTGGAGATTGCAATTGCGAGAATAAATGTTGGTATTGTATGTTTCTGCAAGTGATGGATACGTTACATTTGCATATAGCAGTTATAAACACAGTGGTTGACATGTGGTTATGTTTAGGAACAAAAAACACTTGGTTATGGTTAATGGCAACATTATCCATTGTTTACATACATCTCTTTGATGAATCAAAGCAAATGCAAGTGTTGTACCTTATTTAGGACTCACACTTTGTCCTAAGTGGAGCAGCATGTCACATTTTTAGGGGCATCCCAAAAAGTGAAAGGAGAAACATAAATTAAAAACTCCACCGAGGATTCTCCTTGCCCATATAGTGTTAGTGGGGATATTATTTTCAAAAGTCTCATTTTTTTCAAATCTTGGCAAACACAGAAATAAACCTTATATGTTGAGGTTTCAGACTCTGGTGATGTTCTTTACTGATAGACTGAAGTTCAGATCTGGTCTGAGCTGCTCGATCATGGTGTAGAGCTGAAAGACACAAAGCATTGTGAACATGTTATTATTCAGGTCCGTGTCTACAGTCAGCCCAGTCGCCAGAATGACACTTGGGATAAACGGCTGCCACAAAGGAGACAGTCGCAGACCACTGTAATTTTTTTAAAGACAAGTTTGGATATTTCCAGCCGTGTTTGTAGCAAAAAACTAGCTTTCTTTTAAATACAGTTTTGGACATTTCCAGCCGAGTTTGAATCGACAAAAGCGTGTATTTTTAAACAAGAGTTCAGGACATTTCCAGCCATGTCTGAAGCAATAAAAGTGGGTATACTTTGACGAGAGTTGAGGACAATTCTAGCTGTGTTTGTAACGACAAAACCATCTTTCTTTTAACAACAGTTCGAGACATTTCCAGCCGTGTTTGAAGGAACCCAAGCATGTATTTTTTAATTAGAGTTCAGGGCATTTCCAGTGGTGTTTATTGCAACAAAAATGGGTATTTTTAACAAGAGTTTGGGACATTTCCAGCTGTGATCATAGAAACAAAAACGGGTATTTTTTCAACAAGAGTTTGTGACATTTTCAGCTGCATTTATAGCGACAAAAGGCTACAATTTTTTAACGAGAGTTCGTGACATTTCCAGCTCTATTTGTAGGGACAAAACCGTCTCTCTTTATTTCTTTGGGACATTTCCAACCATATTTACAGCAACAAAGTGGGTATTTTTTCAACAAGAGTTGGTGACATTTTCAGCCATATTTATAGTGACAAAAAGCTACAATTTTTAACAAGAGTTTGTGACATTTCCAGCCATGTTTGAAGTGATAAAAGTGGGTATTCTTTCACGAGAGTTCATGACAATTTCAGCTGTATTTGTAGCGACAAAACAGGCTCTCTTTCTTTCTTCGGGACATTTCCAGCCATGTTTACAGCGACAAAAAGTGGGTATTGTTAACAAGAGTTCAGGACATTTCCAAACACGTAATTGTGGCATCGAAAGTGAGTATTTTTTTATAAGTTCATGACATTTCCAGCCACATTTGTAGAGACAAAAGCAGTTTTTTTAAAGAAGAGGTTGTGTCATTTTCAGCCGTGTTTGTACTGAAAACAGATGGTATTTTTTATGACAAGTCGAGACATTTCTAGCCATGTTTGTAGCGTTCTATGTGCCTAAACTTTACGTTACCCACAATGTTGTCACAATATGAAATATAAAAATTGAAACATAGAGTTTCAACATATGAAACACACAAATGTAACATATCCATATCCATAAATGTACGATGCCAAAATTTTATTCTGGGTTGTCAGAGTAAAGTCAGATTGCGCTCTGCACGAATTATATAAGAGAGCACAATTAGTATTGAATGTTTTATCACTGAAATGAAACACAGAACAGGATATGAGTATAGATTTGCAAAGTCTATTAACAAAGTGACTTACCCGGTGCAGGACTGGACCAACTGTTGTTTCATTTAGCTCATGATATGACTGAACAGCTGTCAGCAGGATTGCCACAACTGTGGGACATAAAAAAGGAAATTCAGAATAGTTAAAATCATGTTAGACTTCATGTTGAATTAATTTCTGCAATCTTAAAATGGGGAGTTTTTCCTTATACCCTGTGAGGTTCCTAAGGACAGAGGGATGTCGTGTCCTGTGAGGCAAACTGTGATTTGTGATATTGGGTTTTATAAATAAAACTGATTGACTGATTGACTTACCGTTGTCTGCTGGATCAGATGCTGGTTGGACTGATGTTGCTTGTATTGGCTCTGAAAAAGGAGCCTCCGTGACAAGGGAGGGAAAGGATGCTGGGGAAACATTTAAATAAAGTACATTTTAACGTCACACAGTTGAACTTGTCACAGCAAACTTCAGCTCATTACATTTACCAACGATATATATATTTAAAGGATCTCTTGTGTACTCACTTGTCTGTGCAGCACATGAGGCCAAACATCCAGCAAACAGGATCAGCAGCAGCATGTCAAAGCTTTATTCCCAAACAAGAGTGAAATCTGCAGTGGGAAAATGTTGTCTGTATTCCCACAGAACCTCTGGCTACTTTTGTTCTGTGCCATGAAGAGGGTGTGGCAATAACAACATGACATGTCAAAGACAATTGTCTGGGCTGGAGCAACTCAAGCATGTAACAAAGGCCGAAGCAAACCAGTTCTGTGCGACGAAATATGAGAAAGAACCTTTTTAAGGCTGTCAAGCACGTAATTTCTGAGGTTGTGATTTGCTTTATGCAGGTTGTTTTTTTAACTGCTTCTTCTACAAAGCAAAATAATTTCATACCTTGTAAATTATCAAAAGATTATGCATGTCAGAAAAGGTTAAGAGAGGGATTTTTGTTATAAAAAAAAAGGGTTTAGTTGAGCCAAAAGCAAATTCTGATGTGCTCCCAGACTTTTCAGCTACTTTTTATTGAGATGTCTTGAGTTGTTTTTAAGACAAAAAAACAGCAAAGAAATAACAAGAACTATTTTTCTTTTTTTAATTAAAGGAAAATTCCAATAATCAAGTCTTCCTTTAGGCCACATTAATTTTTTCATAAATATAATACCTACAAAAGTGAAATGAACAAAGGCTACAAACAACAAATTTAAAGGAGCTGTATGTGATATTCAGAACATTAATATAGCTGCTAACAATTATTTGCTATGTGAAGACAAAGAGGAGTAATGGGGTCCTGACCTGAAGTCAGTCCACCTCTGTTTGTGTTGTAATCTGAGCTTCTCAGTTTGTCATTGTGGTGGATGGTCCAGCCGCACCCGCATGTTGAGTTGCATGAGAGTCCCTGTGAGTGCCACCATGCCGACCCACAAAGAAAGAACGCCGCTGTGGCCAATCTCTGGTCCCACTCCAATCATAAATATGCTCTGAATATTGTTTCCTTTAAAGCCCAGTTCAGACCAAAAAATCGTGACAAGATGAGCTGAAACAACTACCTGCAATGCTCCATCCTGCAACGTTCTAAAAACCTGCTGGTTCACACCAATGCAACTAGATGAGATGATGTATCATCCCTATGCAACAACTGTCTGTACTTCAGAGGCACATACAGCGAGCAGCAGCAGCAACCAACTGTCTGATACCAGCACACCGTGAATCTTTGGTCTGAAGTGGGCTTAAGAGTAATACTAAACTAAACTAAAACTAAACTAATACTAAACAGACTTTCTAGTATGACATCACACATTGTAAAGCTCTTTTTAGAGCTTTGAAACCACATTTCAGAGTTGATCACATCTCATCCTGTGATGAGACAGTTACTCTGTGCATCTGTGAGTAATTGTAATCCTCTTTCTCTCGTATCAGTAAATAAAGATTGATAATAAATCCTTCATGACTACAGGTTCTTTAACTTTCTGCTGCTGCTGCTGCTGCTGCTGCTGCTGCTCACAGAGCTGGAGTGTCTGGAGGTGGTGAGAGGAGGGGAGGTCACGGCCAGATCCAAGCCCACTTCCACAGTCTTCAGCACGTGGGAGTGAGGTGACACGGAGGCCCTGGGGCTGCTGCTGGCTGAGGACGCAGGAGACCTACAGTACAGAGAGAAGAACAACACCATGAAGATACAGAGGAGCAGAGCAGCATAATAAAGTCTCCATCTTCTTCTCAATCAGACCGTGGAGCACACCTGTGTGACCAGTCTCTCCCTTCTGACTGGTTTTATTACACTGACATGAGCAGTACTTAATTATTGTTCTCATGCATACTTTAATGATCCGTCCAATAGTTCGAACTCATGACAACAAGCCCTCGTTATTCCTCTGACCTCCACTCTCGCCTTCTCTGGAGAAGAATGGATCAAATCTGACCTGAGAGAGGCAGAGCTGCACACAGAGTTTCTCTTAGAGCTTCGGCCACTGGCAGGAGTGGAAGACGGAGACGGAAGAGACAGATTGGCCTGAGAGAAACAGCAGAAGAAAAGCAAAGTTAAAGGAACTGTATGTAACATTCAGAGCATATCCATGATTCAAAGTCTGACTTCTGACTGCTGACAGAACTAATGGCGTTGACGCCATCCTGATATCAGCGGTAACCTCTGTATGGATTTAACAAATTTGTGCCCAAAATTTAAGAGATTTATATCTATTGAGTGAAGGAAAAAAAGTCTTATATCTTTAATTTAAACCTGTGAAAAATGGGAGCAAAAACAAAAGACATAACTCAATGCTTAATTAATCCTCTGAATATAAAAACGATGCAGTGTCACTTGTTTTCTACCTGCAGGAAGTATTTCTCAATCACTGATCTGAGGTTGAGTTTGTCCTCCATGGCCTCGTTCAACATCTTGTTGATGCTCTTGTTGAATTCTTTCCACTCCCTCAGCTTAATGTCCTTCTCCTCAAATGTCTCAGTTTTGGTGTTCTGTGCTGAGCGGATCTCTTTGGTCAGCTTAGAGCACTAACAGACAGAGAGGACAACACAGGATTTAAGTATGATTATTGTGACTGTTAATAGATGTTTGTAATAAAAGATCCCACTCCCCTGTGTTTAGAGAGAAGTGGGACAGGCAGACATCAAACCTGCTTTGTGGCTCTGTCAACCTTCTCCTGCTGGGAAGTGATTTCTTTGTTCAGTTTACCAATGAGCGACTGTTTGCTCTGTATCTTATCTTTCTCCACCTGCTCGTCTTGCAGCAGACTCTCCAAGGTATTGTTCATGTCCTGGAAATGGAGAGCGGCAAACACACATGAGCACACAAAAGCACGGCCCAGACACACATTCATGCCAGGTCAGCTTCACTGGATGACTCAGATAAGTAGAGTCAGGTGTTGAGCAAGTTCATTGATGACCCAATACTCTCACAGGGACACCACTAAATACTGAAGAGGAAAGGCAGGAATAGAGAGGGAGCGCTTTTACAAGGAACGAGGAAATAAAAATACAGAAGAGTAAATACTGACAGACAACAGGAAATGCTAAAGATTATTTCCATCAGTATTAAATGTTGTACAGTATTAAGATCGGCCTTAAAGCTGGGTAGGCAGTTGAATTTTGCTGCCATTGGTCAAAAATCCCACAATAACCTTTGAGCATATTGTAACTTAAGTGGACTGAGAGAAAACTACACCTCTGCACCTCCGCTTGGCTCTGTTTTCAGCAAGGATGTAGGCTTGCATATGGACGGTACCAATATTTAAACAACCTTGTTTGCATCTTGTATTGATTCAGAAAGAGACAGTGTATTATATTTTTCAATATGGGCCAATCACGTATCACCAAGCCATTTTTTTTCCGTTTATTTGTGGCCTGGTCACAGGGTTCCAGACTCTAGCCATCCCTCCCTGCAGCAACGCTTTCCAGCTCCTCCTGGGTGACCCCAAGGTGTTTCAAGGCCAGATGAGGTATATAATGCCTCCAGCATGCTCTGGGTCTGTCCCGGGGCCTCCTACCGGTTGGACGAGCTTGGAAGACCTGGCAAGGGGCCCAGGAGGCATTCTGATCAGATGCCTGAACCACCTCAACTGGCCTCTATAATGTGAAGGAGCAGCAGCTCTACTCCGAGCTCCCTCCAGATATCTGAGCTTCTCACAGGAAACTCATTCCTGCTGCGTGTATCCACAGTCCTATTCTTTCAGTCATTACCCATAGCTGATGACCATAGTTGAGGGTTGGGATGTTAAATCGAGAGCTTTGCCTTCCTGCTCAGTTCCCTCTTCACCATGACCATGCATCACTGCTGATGCCGTGTCAAACCGTCTGTCCATCTAACGATCCAGTTTACCCTCACTCATGAACAGGACCCCGAGATACCTGAACTTCTTGGGTTGGGGCATTAGTTTCAGTATTCCACTTCCGATATAGCTGCTTAAACTTTGTCTCATCCAGAGAGCGTCTGAAACAGGTTCTGTGTCTGTCAGACGGTCTGAAGGGGAAACTACCGTTAGCAAACGCACAGCAGAGTACAGGGCAGGCAGATTTTTTTTTTCTTAAAACATTATGAGTTTATTCGAATTTATTCATTTAAATTATATTATAATACAACTTTATTCTTTACTTTCTTGCTTAAATGTATAGCAGAGCTATTTAAGTCCATTATAAAGTCATTAAAATGAATTAATTTATCACTGATGTAAACAGGTGACACGTGTACATTTAAAGAGGTTACCTCCTCAAACAAAAAGACACAAATTAACTATGCCTACATGTGTGTTGTCTCAGCAGAGATAACATTAAATGAGAAGTAGATCTACATGAGAAGCCTATTTTTAAATTTTTAACCACACCAGTTGCCTGAATTTTTATGTTTTCCTTAACATACAGAAAGAAATTTCCACCATAAATGGGTGCGGAAATGATCACCAGAATGCAGAAAATGAGGTGTTTGATGCTCACAATTTCATGGGGGAGGACCCCAAACCCCAACTCAATATATGTCCCTACCAATGTTGACATGAAACCTACACTCTTGGATTTCAGGCTGGGTTATGTTTTGCTTTTGGACTGAGCACATACACCTGTCTTGAGTAACTTACTAGAAGCTGTTTGAGAGTTTTGCAGTGGCTGCTCATTCACAAGCAGGCAACACTTGCACAGGTATGGTGACACTCCTCATTCTGGCCTAATTAGCCTATAAAACCAAACATCCATTCATATTTTCTATAAATAGACAATAACCTGTAAGTCCTGTTGGAGCTCTTGGACTTGTCTCTTTTTATACTTCAGCGTCTCTTCAGCTGCCCTCAACTGCTCTTCTAGCTTCAGCTTTTCCTGGTGTTCTGGACCTGAAACAAAAACAGTCTGAATTACTTTGTGAACACATGAAGATAACAAACAAACATACTTCACTTCCTGCTGATGATCCCTGATAAGAGTGATTCAGGTTGATTGAGTCTACCTGTTCATACGTACTGGATTCATTCACTTTGTTGAGGGATGTGCGAAATGCTGTGTTACTGCTGTCAAACAAACGGATGGTGTTCTCTAGAGCTCTGTTTTCCAGCTCCGTCTTGCGGATCTTAGCATCCAGATCGTCTCCCTTTCGCTTGAGCTCCTCTTTCTCTTGTGCAGCCTGATGAAAAGCACACAGTGGTGATTCAAAGAGCTGGAGTGCCCCACAGGAACAGCTTCAACAGACTCTGCATAGCATGATGGTGAATTTAAAGACCTCTTACCTTTGTGATGTAGTAAGCCTGTGATTTCTCCTCTTCCCCCTCAGGGGCTGCCATTGAAAACATCTCAATCTCGAAGCGTTTCTTCATCATGTCGACCTTGGACAGTTTCTCACTCAGTTCGACGCTGACACGGAATCAATGGTCAAATAAAGTTGTTTGTTTTGGAAAATGATTCTCACAATCATGCAAGTCTGATATGGAACATGACTACAAGAGCTAAATGAGCAAAGGCTTGGGGTCACAGCTAGGGTTTTTCCTTACCTGAGTTTCTGTCTGTCCTGCTCACTGATCTTGAGCTGCTGATTTAGCATTTTTTTATAGACCTTGACCTCCTCCTCCCTGTCCTTCATGGCTTCCTGCAACTCCAGCCTCCTCTTCTCCAGAGACAGCACGCTGTCCGCCTTGCTGTACAGCAGACTCCTCACACGCTCGACCTCTGTCTTAAGGACGTTGTGCTCCACCAGGGTGTCCTGATGAGGAACATGTGAAGTCGACATAGTGCATAGTTTTGTTCTACGTACAGGTGGTGCTCATTTTCAGATACATGACATTATGTCTGCTCTTACAGGGTTTCCCATACATTAATTTATTTGTGGCGGCAAATAAATTATTTAACATGCCACCCCGTTTCTGTGTCAACCCTCGTATATATTGTCCATTCCCTAATTTTACACGTTTAATGAGCTAAATTATGCATAAATTAGGTTTCTGTTAATCAAATAATTATAACAGCAATAAGTAAAGTGACCTTCCAAACTGAGATATAACCTTGAATCAAACTTATTAAACCACTCATATTTAATCATCAAAACACGGGGTCTCAGTGATTTCATAATACCTGCTATGACGGTAGTCAGTTACCTGTCTCTTGAGCCTGAGTCTCTTCAGCTCCTTTTCATTGGTGTTACAGAGAAGCATGAGCTCCTCCACCTTGTCGGTCAGATCTCTCTTTTGAGCCTCTGACTTCTCCATCACTTTCCTCAAATAGCGAATATCATCCTGTCCGAGACAAAGAGAGACAAGATGGAATTATTTCACTGGTTCGGTGTGTGAAAATGTGTACAGTGAGACAACAAACAAACAGACTGACCTCAGCCTCCTTGAGTGCACTGGTCAGCTTGTTGGCCATCTCCTTCTTCTCCTCTAGGGTTTTGGTCAGCTCAGCGATCTTTACGTTCAACATTTGCTTTTCATCGGTGCGAACTTCGCCTTGCAGCCGTGCCAGTTTTTTGTCCAGGTGGATGATCTGGGTGTCCTTCACAAAGCAAGGAAAGGAAAACATATATTTATTGATATGCAGAGTCTAGCACCAGACTAGAGAAAGCTGGTAGTGTATTTGTAGAAAGTCACATCTGTGTGTGTTTTTTGGTAAGCGTGCCTGTTCCATCATGATAATCTGCTGTCTTTTTAATTCCTCCTCCTGTTTTCTCAGCTGGCTCTCCAGTTGGTTGATGGTGGATTTACTCCTTGAGACCAGAGCAATAGAATCCTTCTCCTTTGTCTTGAGGGCCTGCAAATGTTCTTTACCACGAAAAAGCTCTTCCCTGTAGTCACGCAGCTGGACATCCAACTCCTATAGCAAAGTACAGACCAAAGCAGGGTTACACAGGGGTGTATGTATAGACAATGCAGGCAGTGCAGGTGTACAGGTATGAGTTGATGTTAGATAACTGCTAACAACAAACAATGAATTTGAGGGTGCAAAAAACGCAGCATGTGTACGGCCCCTCATGCTTCTCTTTGTCACCGTTTCAGATCGACAGTACAGCTTTAAATTCATGGGAAGACCAGCATACAGAGGTTGATATTTGGATTATGTTCAAAAGCTATTAGCAAAAATAATAATCAAAGAGTGTTCTGACAGTCCTGAGATGAAGAACTAAAAATAAAAAAGTCATAAAGTGTACAACAACAGCTCTCTTCCAGGCCGCTCACCTTAATTGCCCGTTCCTCATCCTTGAGGAGTTGGTCCATCTGTGCAGCCCTCTCCTCCTCACTGAGGGCGGTCTGAGTCACATCTTTCAGCTTCTCCTCCAGCGCAGCATTGTAGGCCTTGGCCCTCATGAGTCTACAACATACAGACAGAGCTTGTGTAGTAAAGCTAGGGTGGTACTTCAGCGAACAGATGTGTTATCAGATGTCATTGACTTGTCATTGTTATCCTGGATGTCTTTCTTCATCCTGGATATGTGGGACGACGCAGACTCCACACTGGAGGTTGCTCCGTCTAGTCTGCCTTTGCAACTTTTCAGCTGTAGCACATACGAGAATCAATCACTTTTACAAAATGAGGATAGATTACAGACATTTCATAGTGGCAGAAGTCACGTTGGGCTGCTTTGAGATGCTGACCTCATCCTTCAGCCTGCTGCAGTTATTCTCCTGCTCCTTCAAATCCTGCCGCAGCTTTACAGCGTGTCGGGTGGCCATGGTTAGGTTCCTCTCAGTTTCCTTATTGTTGTTCCTCTGAGTTTCCAGCCAGTGCTTCCTCTTTGCAATGCTGGTGTTTCTGTCCCTGATGTTCTGGTTGGCTTGGGCAAGTTGCTGGATGTATGAGAGAAATAAGACAGGAATACAAATACTCGAGTTTGCCGTTGAGCGTGTGTTCATGTTCTGTTAGCTTTTATTGTTCAGAGGTTTATAAGCGTTGAGACAGCATGTCAAGGTCGCAGATTTTACCAGAGCACACTGCTGCATCTCAGCATCTCTCTGCTTCATCTGCTTGATGGTGTTTTCCCACTGGTGGATGAGCTGCTGTGTCTCCTGGTGGGCCTGCTGCAAATTCTCTGTCGTTTTATCCAAAGCAATCTGTGAGGAAAAGAAAAGAAAAGTGTATTCTCTGCAACAGTTTGTGGTTTAAAGGGACAGTTCACCCCATAATCAAAACTACATGTGTTTCCTCTTACCTTTGGTGCTATTTATCAGTCTAGATTGTTTTGGTGTGAGTTGCTGTGTGTTGGAGATATCAGCTGTAGAGATGTCTGCCCTCTCTTAAATATAATGGAACTAGATGGCACTCAGCTTGTGGTGCTCAAAGAGCCACAAAATTACATTTGAAGAACTCAACATCAATGTCTCTTTCCAGAAATCATGACCTGGTTGCTCAAGATAATCCACAGACCTTGTTTTGAGCAGCTTCATGTCGGAACTATTTTCTTTCTACCGAACAACAACTGCCAGCCGTATCACCCATAGGCTAAATAAAATAATGGCTGTAGCTACCGTGATGTCACCCATTGATTTCTGGACTCCCATTCTGAAGCCTCTGCATTTTGGATGTCGTTATCTTGTTTTTTTGGAGCCAGGCGTAACGAAATCTGGACAAGAGGGTGAAGCTTTGGAGGAGCCAGGCTTGTACCAGGCTGTAAACATGTTTATTCCTGCTGTAAAAGGTGGGCATTTTAACATGGGGGTCTATGAGAATTGATTCACTTCTGGAGCCAGCCTCAAGTGGCCATTCAAGGAACTGCAGTTTTGGCACTTCCACACTGGCTACATTTTTCAACCCTGGAGGTTGCTGCTTGGTATCACTGTGCAATGAATGAAGCATGAATCTAGTGCTAGCTCACCTAGCACCACTAAGCTAACTAATGTTAGAGCTCAGCCAACGAGGACGGCACTCATGTTTACATCTTGCGCCGTCACAAGCACAAGACTTTAGTCCATGAATAGATACACTCTTCCTTCTGCTCGGTGATACAGTTGGCAGGTGTAGTTCGGTAGAAAGAAAATAGTTACTGCATAAAACTGCTCACAACAAGGTCTGTGGATTATCTTGGGTAACCAGGTCATGATTTCTGGAAAGAGACATTGCAGTTGAGTTTTTCAAATGTATTTTTTGGCGCTTTGAGCACCACAAGCTGAGTGCCATCTAATTCCATTATATTGGAGAGAAGGCAAACATCTCTACGGCTGATATATCCACTCAGCAACTCACACCAAAACAATCTATATTGATAGATAGCACTACAGGCAAGAGGAAAAAACGTATTTTTGATTATGAGGTGAACTGTCCCTTGAAAATTTCAAATCAGCAATGAGAATGTGAAGTGTTTTTTTTACATTACCCGTGTAGATATAGTCTCAGTCAATTCTTTGTCAAGGGCTTTGCGCTTGTCACTGGCCTCCAGTGTCTTCTTCTCTATAGCCAGAGTGAGTGACTGTATCGGGAGAGAATATAAAGCTGTTAGCTCAGGATGAGTCAGAATTGTAGACATCAGTTTAGAATATATGTTCAATACAGCCCTTTTCTCCTCACCTTTATCCTCTGCTCGTCTTGCTGGGCATACTTGATGATGGCCATTGTGTCCTCATCTTTGCGTGCCGACTCCTCTAAAAAGGCGTCCAAGGTCTGCTGGTCCCACTCCATCTGGTTCCTAAAGTCCTCTAGCTTCTGTTTGGCCTTGAAGACATGATTCTGAGGATATGGACAAAGATTAAGTTGCACATTCTGGCACTTACAGCTAGACTTGTTTCTAGGTTTGAAGTATAAATGTTGTGTAGACCTCTAGCATGTTCTTTCTCTCTGCTAAAGATCGATTGTCACTCTCCATCTTTGCAACTTCCTGTGTCAGGTGACCTGTCTCCCTCTCTGCGAGGGCGTTGAGGTGTTTCTCAAACTCTTCTTCTCTTTCCTTTGCTTTAAGCAGAGCCTGTGTGCAAAAAAACAACACTGTGACTATAACTGAAATTAAGAGAAGAGACACGCACCTGTCTGACACATATTGAATAAACAATGTATTCTGAAACACCTACCTCAGTACTGTCCAGCTCTTGTTTAACATTCTTAAAGAATTCGGTTAATGTCTGCTTTTGTTCCCTGTGTCTCTCAAGTTTGTTGTCCAGTCGCACCAACTCCATCTCTTTTTTACGAATCTGTTGTTGAGGAAACAATCAGGTTAAAAGCATGACATATATGACATACAAACATTTGTCTTTGGACACAGACAGATTTACCAGTTGTAAACATGGAACCCTCGTGAGCTGACATAAAACTTTACAACTTGTAAACCCAGGTGTCGGAGCCATCTGGTCTAGATGTTTACAATATAATAACTGCAGTATGGTTGCAGTGTAGAGCGTTACATAACAGTAGTTGATGAAGCTCATGTGAGCCGATGTAGTAAGAGATTTTGACAGTGTCCCACTGTCACAAGACCACGAATACAGAGTTCAAACATCACTAGTCACCGTTCAGTATAAAATGAAAATGATTACTCAAATTTCTGATGGTCATGTTTCTCACATGACCATCAGAAATTTGAGTAATCATTTTTTAGAAGCTTACATCTGCCAGTTTTTCTGCATTAATTCTGAGTCCCTGAGACACTTGATCTGTTATTTTCTTAACAATGATGCATGCTATTTCTTGCCTGGATTTAGACCTTGGAATCCACCCACTCCACCAAGCTGACTTGAGGTGGAAATGGAGGGTAACGAATTGACAGTAACAGATTTGTCATCCATTTCCCTCATATACACGGTGTTGGGAATGTCACTTTTGAAATTAAATAGGTAACAGATTACTGGTTACCCTGTTCAAATTAAATCAGTAATGTAACTATTTTAATTTCTTCATCAAAGTATTACACCTTACACTTGATAACTCTTTGATTACTTTTCTAACAAATGTTTTAAACTGGTCAGTAAAGCTGAAAATGTGAGAAATGGGTTATGCTAAATGAAGGTATTCCTGCACAATGAAAAGGTGCAAAGCAACAGTTTATATTCTACATATGAACTTTTTACCACCCCAAAATAGGCTGTATTCAGATGTAACCCCTTTGTAATCACCAACTTTGATTAGTAGCTGTAATTTAATAACATTTTTTATCTCAGTGACTGTAACTTATCAGCCTCCAATTACATTTATTTTGTAATTTCATTACATGTAACTACAAGAGGCCGACATAATGACCAGGATCAGTAAGGCTAGGGTGGTGTTTAACACATTTTTGATTCTAATGTGAAGCTGGTGTATGGATCAGAGACATTGAGAACAACAAACCACATAACAAACAGGCTGCAAACATTCATGAACACCTGTCTCAATTAACATCTGGTGGAGAGGCAAAGTAAGCAATGCAGACCTGTGAAAAAGAACAAACCAGGACCCCACTGACTCACAAAGTCTAAAAAGAAAGTAGAGTTGGATTGGACACACCCTCAGAAAACCGTCCATCATCCGACAAGCCCAAACACCTCTGGGAACTCCTTCAAGACTGTTGGAAAACCATTTCAGGTGACTACCTCTTGAAGCTCATAGAGAGAATGCCAAGAGTGTGCAAAGCAGTAATCAGAGCAAAGGGTGGCTATTTTGAAGAAACTAGAATATAAAACATGTTTTCAGTTATTTCACCTTTTTTGTTAAGTACATAACTCCACATGTGTTCATTCATAGTTTTGATGCCTTCAGTGAGAATCTACAATGTAAATAGTCATGAAAATAAAGAAAACGCATTGAATGAGAAGGTGTGTCCAAACTTTTGGCCTGTACTGTATATGTAGTGTGTTCTATGTGCCTAATCCAGCAGATATGCATTTCTGAACGCTAGACAGTTGCTCAAGCAGTGGTTCCCAACGTTTTTCCTAGAGGGACCCCTTTTCTATCATTACGACCCCTGACTAAGTAACATATTTTATGGATATTTCATATTATATTTAATGCATTATAATAATAACAGCACAAAACATCTGATAAACTACAATTACATTTTTAGGAACTTTTTATGTGATTCTCCGTCTAGATTTTTTTTTAACAATCATACAAACTTAATGGGCTTCTTTTTTGACCAATTCAATGCTTTCTTCTCCCTAACACTTGTCCATTGTTGGTCCAGCTCTCTGGGTGTTTTAACTGTATACTTTTCTTTTTTCATTAAGTTTAAGGTACAGTCATTTTTGACGGTCCCTAACTGACTCTAACTTCCGCTGGGCCAAAATGTCAAACACCTAACTACTTTGAACACATTAAATTAATACACAACACTGTCAGTTACTCCGTTATAGTTAGTAAAATACATTAACTTCGTAGTGGTGTCATAACTAAATATAACCCTCCCATACTCACCTCTTCAATCAAAGCCTTGTTTTCAGCGTTAGGTTCAGGGATAGCAAACCGCTCATCCCAGCCGATCTCTGATAAAACTGTATTAATAACGGCCGCCATTTTCTCTTACTGTTTGACTGAGCCGGCAAAGTCACAAAAGACTGATTCAAAGTGATACGTGTTCAATAAGTGTCGTTATTATCAGCTGATATCAGTTGTTTCTTTCTCCAGTTTGCCAAATACTATCTCAACCGCTGTCTGTTGTCAGTCGCCCCTAGCAACCGCGCGTGCCCTTAAATGGTACCACCGCAGGGAGGCGCGCGAGGTTACAGTGGTGCGGACGTCACTTCCCCGGAAGTTGTTAACTTGTACAACTAACAACTTTACAATGTGTTTTACAAAAAGACGGTAAAGAGGTTAAGATATGTTGGATATTAAAAAAAATCGTTTATAATAAGAACTATTTTATTTTATTTTGTTTTATTTCAATTTTTACCCTCCCTAGAGCAACAAATATATTTCCTTTGGCCTTCCTAAGTGACTGACAGAAAATGCATGACCATCCCTCCACCATAAATTAGCTACTAGATATTTAAAACTTTTTACTCTTGTCATACATGCTAGTTAGTTTGTGTTAATGGTTTAATTTTAGCCAAATTTTAAATGAGACTTATAATAACGACATTTTGATGAAATATCACTATTTCACGCTCAGATTTACTGATGCTTTTTTCTGACAGAAGCATTTATCACAGGAGGTGTCCAAGGACTGTTGGAAATTTGAAACCCCAACAGTCATTTCTGTTTTTACAGTTTCTGGTTATGTTAAATAGTGTAATTTTGGCATTTTAAAAGAAAACATACCTTCCAAACCCAGCCAGCTGAGTTTAGAGGGCAAGTTTTGCTTAAAAATCTGCCGTAAAAGAAGTATAAAATACAACCATTTCAATCTGTATGCCCCTCCCCTAACCCAAATGAATGGAAAGTCCCTCTTCAGTATCTAAAATATTTTTGACATGCCTCCTCTGTTTTGCACCACCCCCCTGCTCCCCCATAAGTACCACACAGTCCCTTATCAGGTTTTTAAAAACACACATTATAAAATATGCCCAAGTGGACTCTGACTTATCCTTCATACAATGTGCAGTTTGTATTATCTTATTAGGTATCTTTGCTTATGTATGCAAGACCCCATGTCTACATTCAGCTACAAATTCAGCTACACAAACTTCTCCAAATTGAAAAAAAATGTAGCAGTTGAGGGGAAAGTACATTATAGAACCATGAGCTTTACTAAATCATTAACAAAACAGGATTTACACTGCAGTGAGAGGAACAAAGATGTCATCCATCTTAATAGCATCTCACCTAATTTGACTCAAAACAGTCTTCTGCTAATTTAAGAACTCACACAGAGACCTTGCATCTTTAAAGATACCAAAGCGAAACATTTATTTTATCTTTATACATTTGTGTTTAAACAAACAGCATTATGCTTAAAAAATTACAATCAATGTTTTATACTGACTTGTCGCACAAATGCATCATAAAACAGAAACAAAATCAGGAATGCACACAAAAGTATTAAAATTCAATATTTAAAGAATGACGTCCCCTCACGAACCCTCGTGTTTAGATTACAATTCAAAAGTGTGTCTATCTACTTGCTTCCGAGCGGAGCCTGACCACATCAAGGGGCCAAGATGGTGACTCCTCTCGAGTTGGCTTGAGCGCACACAAAAAGCCCAATACTTTAGATAAAAGTTCCAAACCACCACAAGTTGACCAACAAAGAGATATGCCTTTTTTTATATATATATATGTAAATACACACACACATATATAAAGTCTCTGCTGTGTAAAATATTTCAGTCCTGAGGGTTGAAAAGGCAACATAGTTCTCAGCTCAGTGCGGTCCCCTTGTCCTCCGATCACTGCGCTCTCTGGTTCTTTAGAAACCTCACGTGTTGGATGTTCCTTTAGTGAGAGCAGCCCTTACACTGCCGTGCTTTTGGTCCCGATGTGTGGTCGTGCAAACTCCACAAAGTCATCAATGAGGACAGGCCATGCTCCTGGTGAAAGGACAAACACAACTCATTACATAAACTGAATCCACCATGTGTGAAGACAAGAATTAGGACTGATGACTGGACTGAACTTGATATTCTAATGATGTCAAACCATACTGAGCCTGTGTGAAGCAAAGTACAGACACTTAAAGGTCTAGTGTGTAGCATTTAGGAAGATGCATTGGCAAAAATGGAATATAATATGTTTCTGCAAGTGTTTAATCACCCGAAAATAAGAATTGTTGGGTTTTTGTTACCTTAGGAAGAGCATTTATGTCTACAAAGGGAGCAGGTGCTCATCCACGGAGAGTGCCATTTTACACCACAATGTTTCTACAGTAGCTCAGAACCAAAACCAAACACTGGCTCTAAACAGGGACATTCACACCTCTGTCTTTACCTGTAGTTAGAAGCCCCTCTGTGACGAGCAGCATCAGAAAAAACTTTTTTTTTTAACGTGAAAGTGCTTTATCAGTGTTTTTACTGGTATAAATGACCAAGTCTATTTGTTTTGGAAAGAAATACCCCTCTTCACTGAACTTATCAGAATCAGAAATACTTTTTTGATCCATGAGGAGACATTATGATTCGTTACAGTCGCTCTGATGTAAAGAATAGAGAATTATGAGACGTAAGAATAGGACTATGAAATAGAAGTGCGTAAATATTAAGTAATAAAATACAAAAAATAGAAATAAAAATTTGCAACATGCTACCATGTTAACACTAGTACTTAAGATATTAAGAATAAAATATACATCTTCACTGTGCTGAGTCTGTAAGTGTGTGTGGCACGCCATTTACAAAGCTCTGCAGCAGACAAGCACGCCTTTCTGATTTCTTTTCTTTTCTTTTCTTTTTTTTTTTAAATGGTGCGTCACGTTCGACGTCACGGACAAGCCGGAAAACAGTTACGTAAAACGAGAAAAGCAGCGTGGATGCCAGTAAAAGTGTTTCTGCAATTACTTCATTTTATTCTTTACTTATTCAGTCTCTTAAAACTTGGTGCCGACTACTTTGGAACGATGTTTGAGCATTGCCTGGGCGGAGACGCGTGGTATTTTGTGGTAGCATCTCACTGCAACTCATCGGTAAAGGCTAAAATTAGTACATTGACATGGATGTGGTATTTCCATCACTGCCAATTGGAGCCGAAGCTGATAAATACCTGTGACTGCTGCAGAGTCATTTGACCCATGTGTGAATGTAGATTGTAACCTTTCCCATTACATGCAGAAGCCACGTTTGCGGGTGTAAAGTGGGGTTTTTGTGCAGTGAGCCAGGGGCTGAAGAGAACTCAACAGATAATTTGGCCCACAGTGAAAACCACCTGAACGTCTCGATCAAAGAAGGGTTAGCACACATTACGTTACCAGAGGAAAAAGGTGACCTCATGATAGCAAGTGCTGGGCTAGCGGCCCATCTACGACAACCTAAACAATGTCAGAGAAACACTGATTTGTAACGTGAAACTGCTTTGTCAAGTGTTTATATCGGTTTGAATCACCTAGAGTGTTTAGTCTGGAGAGAAAGAGACCTCTGCGGGAGCTCACGCTTGGAACACGGTAAAAGTTTCAGTTGAATCCTACACACTGTTCCTTTAATTGAATAGACTGAAGGAAAAATTACAGGTCATAGTGCATGTGCATGCACACAGGGATAAATGGGTTCACTTCCAGCTGAGTGTTGTACAAACCTTCCTCATCATAATTTGACATGTCATCCGTGATCATTGTGCTGAAGTCTAGTAAGAGGTTCCAAGTGTCCTTAGGAATTGATCTTTTGTGGTGCTCCTGCAAAAGATGAGGGGCAAAGTTGAAGAACTCAACAAGAAGTAATAATACTTTCAGAGTAATCTTGAGTATGATTATCAACTTACAACTAAAAATTGGTTCCACAAGTCCAGGAACTTGAATCTTCCAGCCAGTACTAAATTCCAATATGCAATTGCCATATCTAAATCTGCAAGACAACCAGAGATAGGTCTATATACTTTCGACAAATAGGGTTGCAAAGGTATGAGATTTTCACGGTACAATAACCTCAGAAAATATCACAGTTTCATGGTATTACAGAATTTATATTACAATGACCCTTAAAGGAAATAAAACAGAAGGTTTAGTGTCAGTTTAACAAACGTTTTATTACTGTAATTGAAACTTGAAACCATTTTGTTGATGGAAGTATGTGTTAAAAGTCTTCCCTAGAAAATAATTAAAATAATGGGGAGATTCAACGTCCAGTTGCATTTTTTTCAATATCATAGATAAGCAAACATACACGGTACGATAACTTAACCCTATCAATAAACAAACAGTTGATTTGAGGAGCATTAAAAGATTCTTACCCAAACCTTTCTGGCCAGGATTCTTTGCAAAATTAAATGTAAACTGGTAAAAGTCCTTAAATTTCCCTTGGTCCTTTAACTCTTGCTCCATCTTTGGCAGCTGAGCTTTTAGCTTGTCTATGCTGTCACACCTGGGGACACACAAAGCAGACTGTTAGGTTTTGCCGGACAAACAGGATTTTTCTTTTCTGTGGGGTATATTCATCTTTGTTGTAAAACTAAGCAATTCATAAGAATCATGCGTATGTATAACGTTAACTTTTTCAAACAGATATTAAGTAATCGGCTTATATTTGACATCTTCCACAGTCTAAACATATAAAAGAGGCATTTCTGTGACACACTGTATGAGTACCTAGAATATACAGTAGCTCTGTTTAAGTTTGATGATGAAGTCCATTTTACAGACAACAAAGGAGGAGTTTGGGGGTTGTTTGTACATCTGAAAAGACATCCTCACCCCTGTTCTGCCATGCCGTCCATGAACTCCTGTTTTGAAAACTCGCACTGTGTTGCTGCCCTGAACTTCCAGGCTATGAGGAGGACACTTATACTGGTTGGGTCCAGAGCCAGGTCGTCACAGAACTGCTGGATCCCATCAATGCCAATCTTGTTGTCATCGTGAGGATCTAAGTGTGAGAGCATCAAGAGTGAATTGATTATTACTTTACAGCAAAATTGACTTTTTTTTCCTGATTAATATTACTCAATATTTTCAGTGTTGTACTGTGTAATTTATTCCTAAGCTGTCTATCAAAACTGTAACAAGCTGAAAACTACATTGACCATTACTGTGGTGCTTTATTTGTACCCAGAGGAAAGGAAAATTCAAAATAAGA